TAGGCGTTTTTGTACTGTGTGTCTTTTAGTAAAGCTTATATTAGAGTGAATATCCTTGTTTAATATTTTTCTTATTAAGAGACATGTGTTATAAATATATGTTTGCGTAATATTAAACAATTTAGTCTGATTGCATAATTGTTTAGTTGATATTCTATAATTATAATTAAATAATACTTTGACTAATTTATTTTGTGTAGTCTGTAACTAATTTAGATTAGTTTTGCAAGCCGTACCCCAAACCTCGATTAAATAGCCAATATGTGGTTTAATGAGTGAATTATAAATTAAATATTTTACCTTTTGAGGCAGACATCTTGCAATACGCCGAACCGCGCCAGTGAGAGATATGAGGTTAGACCTAACTTTGTCAATATGCGGCTTCCAGCTAAGGCGATTATCCAATATTAATCCGAGATATTTTTCATTTGTTTTTCTATTAATTCTAACATCATCTATGGATGGCTCTTTAAAATCAAATATCATTTTGTTTTTTGCGCTAAATATTACGTAATTTGTTTTAGCAGTATTGATGGTAAGTAAGTTATGCTGAAACCAAACATTTAATCTGTCCAGATCACTCTGGACATCAGTCATTATATTGTTTATTGATTGACCAAAGTAAAAAAGACTTGTGTCGTCAGCATACAAAGTTATATCAGTGGTAAGGCCAACTTTATTAATATCGTTGATGTATATTAAGATCAAGAGTGGCCCCAAGATTGATCCCTGGTGCACACCATACGTAACTAATTAAGAAGTGCTTTGAGTATCTTTAATTTTAACTATTTGCTGACGATTACTCAAATAAGATTCAAAGATTCTGTGTGCATGGCTTACAAAACCAATATTTGCCAACTTGTGTAGCAGGATTTTGTGACTGACAGTATCAAATGCCTTTTTTAGGTCCATAAATACACCTAAGGGTATCTGTTTTTTATCCATTTGAACTTTAATTTCCGTTATTAAATCCATTGTTGCCGATAGTGTATTCGATTTGCCTCTAAATCCGTATTGTTTATTAGATAGAAAGTTTCTTGACATAAGAAATTTATTTAACATATATACAACACTTTTTCAAATATTTTTGATATGAGATGGAGGGAAGAAGCGTGCCACGACCCAGGGATGTTGGTAGAAAGAGAAAGAAGGCTGCGATTTACATGGGTCTCTCCCGCACCCCTGATTTGTCGGCCCGAAGTGGACGACAAAAGATTTTAAAATTTGTCAAAAGTCAATTTATACGTAAATGTCATACAGGGATGCTAGACGTACCGACTTCTTGGTATACGTACCATTTTTACCTTACCATGTACCAACTAAATATTTTGATGTTATGCAATAATACCAAATTTGTACATTGACCATTCATGAAAAAAATAGAGTAAAAATTGTACTGCTATGTTTACCTCTTAGTGAAAGTTTTTTCAATAGAATAATTTTTAAAATTATATATATTATTTATTATAAAGAAATTTATTTTGTTTTAATTTAACGAACATTCTAAATTCATTATGTATTTAAGATTTTACAGCATTTTGCTTTATTAATTTACACGACAGTGTAAGTAAGCAGACAATAATTTTCAATATTATTCTATTAAAAAACTTTCACTAAGAGGTAAACATAGCAGTACAATTTTTACTCTTATCTGCGTCTCTGTACAAGATGCAAAGAGACTTTTTAGCTAACTAAACAAATTGTTTTTTTGGAGCATAAACATTCACAGCAGAAAAGAAAGCGCAGATAAGGTTAGGGGTGGGAACTTGCTTCGAACCTTCGAAAATAAAACCCTAGATGTATGACCTGCGCATGCGCAAACGTACCACGCGCCTTCGGCAATTGACTGACACATCGCTTGTACACTCAAGTACGACAGAAACATTCTGCAATGCAGAATGTTTCTGTCGGTAACACTGCGTTTGGGACTGGCGATGCAGAATCTGCATCGCCAGTCCCAAACGCAGTGTTACCAACCCTACTGTTTTAACATTAGATTTACTGTTTTTACGTTGATGCCCCTGTTTTCTGTTTAATTCCTAATTTTTACTGTTTTTCAATTAGCGTTCAGCGCCACCTATTACACTATGCAATTTTTTTTTATAAATACTTAAATGTCTAGTTATCAAATATAATGCAGTGACACTAGATGGCTGTATCTGCACTTGTCGGCATTTGAGGGAATTCCCCGACCACAATCTATGTGATTGACAGTCATATTTTATATACGGGAATTCCGAGTGTATATATAGAATGATAGCTACAGGTTACAGCCGTATTGTAACGTATATTGGATTCTATGGTTACATATTTCAAGTGAATTATTAAAGTACATGTGATCCCGCCGTTTAAATTGAATAATAATATTTACAACGTCTATAATACAATGAGCAGTGATTCATCGACTGACAAAAGTTCTCCTAAAAAGAAGATTGTGAAATATGAACAGAAATTTATAAATTCGTGGTTAAAAGATGAAAGGTTCAAAGGCTGGTTAAAGACAAGCACTAAAGGTGAGATCTATTTTTTTTGTACCGCGTGTAATTGTGACCGAAAATGTGGTATACACGAACTGCTACGACACAAAGATTCAACAAAACATGCGAAGAATTGTTTGAAATTGCAAAAACAACCAACACTGACATCGATGTTTACCTCAGGTTCCAATTCACAAGATACAAAAATTACAGCCAAAGCGGGTGAAGTAAAAATGGCTTGCTTTATTGCTGAGCATAATCTGTCTTTTAACATTGCATCTCATTTGAATAAATTGATTTGCGCTGTATGTCCAGATTCGAAAATTGCCACACAGTTATCAATGAGCCGTACAAAAGCTAGAGCTATTATTGTTAATGTAACTGGGCAGACAGCAGAAGAAAATATAGTAGAAATGTTACAAAACAATTGCTTTGCATTACTTGTTGACGAAAGCACAGATAAGTCTACAATAAAACATTTAGCGCTTATCGTAAGAATAGTAAAATTAGATTTCAACGTTGAAGACAGATTTCTGACTTTAATACCAATCATAGATGCTACAGCCACAGCCTTGTATGGTTAAATAGTTGAATATTTTATTGAAAAAGATATTCCTTACAAATCAAACATGATAGGCTTTGCCTCTGGTGGCGCCAATGTTATGTTTGGAGATAAACATTCATTGGTCACTTTGTTTAAAAATGACATACCTCACCTTTTTACTATAAAGTGCATTTGTCATTCTTTTAACCTTTGCGCGTCATACGCATGTGAGAAATTACCAAGGGGTGTAGAAGACTTTTGTAGAGAAGTATTTAACCATGTACAAAATTCTCCAAAATGTATTGGAGACTTTAAAACATTTCAAGCATTTACAAATGTTAAACCACACAAATTACTCCACCCTAGCCAAACAAGATGGTTGTCGCTTATTGAGGTAGTAAACAGGCTTCTGGAACATAATCGATCATCGATAAAATTATATTTTCAAGCTGCATTTCATGTAGATCGATTACTTTCTGTACAATCAATTCTCTCCAAGGCTCTCGAACCGACTACAGAATTATATCTGGAGTTTTTGAAATTTGCATTGCCTATATTTACCGAGCTCAATGAAGAAATGCAGTCCGAGACTCCAAAATTATATTTACTATACGACAAAATACTGAATGCATACACAACTATTTTGGAATGCTTTGTACAAACTGAATATTTGGATCTCACTGCGAAGGAAAAACTAGAGGCACGAATATTTTAGACGCAAAAGAAACTAAAATATTAAGCCTTGACTTCTCGAATGAGCAGAAACATTTACCGTTGCAAGAAATATACGTCGGTGGAATGGTGCCAAATCTGATCAGAAGAAAGAGAGAAATTGGAGAACTAGATGAAGAACGGCTGAAAAATTTCTACATAAAGTGTAAGGAGTTTTATATCGAGGCTTCAAAACAGATACTAAAAAGGTTTCCTTTTAACGACAAAGACCGTCAAGCATTAAAATGTCTGAAGATGCTAGATCCCAAAGCTATTCTGCATCCTGTAATTAAAAAAAAAACCCTTCTATTGCAGATTTACATTATTTCTTCCCAATGATTTGTCCAAATAATATAACTGAATTTGATAGAGAATGGCGAATGTTAAGAAATGTCAATTTATCTTTTGACCAAAACAAAAGTCCCGATATTATCGAATTTTGGAAATACGTACACGAATTGAAAAATGGAGACGGGTCTCAAACATTTCCCACATTATGTGAATTAGTGAAAAAACTTTTGTGCCTACCACATAGCAGCGCCACTGTTGAAAGGTTATTTTCAGCTATAAATATTATGAAAACCAAATTACGCAACAGAATATCGACTACAACTATTAAAGGCGCATTACACACTAAATCCGAAATAACTGATTGCTATTCATTTGAAACCACAGAAAGGCATATGAAGAAATTTAACAAAAATATGTATAATTATAAAAACAATGAGTCTGAAAATACTGAAGATGAGGAAATTGAGGATGAAAGTGGAAAATAATTTTACTTTGATTTTTGTTTTTTGTTTTGTTGTAATGAATATTATAATATAACAATGTATGTGAGTCTTACTACCTATTAAAAGTAGTTAATTGTTTTAATTCTATCAGGAAAGTATGAAATTTGCCCTTTTTCACTTTACCTACTGTTTTCTACTGTTTTTTTATTGGTGAGTTACTGTTTTTTAGTTTTTTGAGGTTGGCAACACTGCCCTATTGTCAAGTTGAAAAATATGTCCATTCGTCTAAAGAACATTAAATTGACATTTTTTACTTTGTATATAACGTACGCGTAGTGCACAGAATTACTTAAAGTTTAGATGAAATAGATAATTCAAACGAACACACGGTGAAATACAAAAGTGATCATACAGGTACAAAAGAAAGAGTGTGGACTGGCTATTGAATTAATAATGGAAAAGCTTTCGTTGTGTAGAGTTTGTTTAGGAGAAGACGTTCGACTGAATTCGATTGTCGGCACTCATCTACAAGAAATGTACGAGTCGTTGGTTTTGATGCCGGTAAGTAATTGTAAAATCAACATTTATATCTCCTGGTAGCTGCGTAGTGTTTCTCTCTCGCGAGATCATGTGTGAGGATCTTCAATGTTGTGTCTTCAAAGGCTATCATGCGAACAACAAAATAAATTTAAACATAGCTAAATGCGGAGTTATGAGTTACAGCCGGGCTAGGGCTCCACTGCGCTACACATATGAAATGGACGGTGCGTTGATGCCGTACTTTAATAGCATCCGAGATTTAGGAGTCGAAATGGTGCCCGAGTTGACGTTTCGTAATCATATCGTTACTACATGCAGTAAATCATTTAGAAATTTAGGATTCATTTTGAGAAACTGTAAAGATTTTAATAACACGTCAGTGGTGAAAATATTGTACAATGCTCTCGTTCGTAGTCATCTAGAAGCGACCGCTATAATTTGGAATCCTCATGAGGCTAAATATAGCCTTATGGTGGAAAAAATCCAAAACAAGTTCGCTCGATTTCTGTACTACAAAGAATACGGGGTGTACCCACTATACCCGCTCATGTACCCAAGCTTATTCGTCCTCGGCATGGTCGGGTACGTGCGCCTGAGCGTGAGGCGAGACGTGGCGCTGGTGACATACGTGTGGCGCGTGCTGCGCGGTCGTCTGCACCAACCCGACATACTGGCGAGTTTGCGGCTGTGCGCCCCTGACGGGTGCGTGGGTGCGCGCCGCCAGCCCCCTCCGCTGAGCGTTCCCGTAACGCGAACAAATTTACTTCGATATGCTCCTATATCACGCGCCATAAGGCTTATTAATATTATTTCAATACAAGTAGATATCTACAACTGTAGCCTGCCGAACTTCAAAGAAGTCGCACAGAGATGTATTACAGCAAATGATTTTTATATATAAATAACTGTTACTTACTGTTTTTACTTACAGTATCGTTTTGGGATAAATCCTGTAAAGACACTGTAATTGTTTTTAATAAATAAATAAAAATAAATAAAATAAAAATAAAATAAATTCGAAATTAATGACAAATGTGTCTGTTTACTTAACTTTAACTAATCAGCAACAAATGTGTGATGATAATCAGCCCTCATCCGCAGCCCTCTCCTGCGTGTGTACTGTTACATGAACTGAAACTGTACATGTTACATTTCAGAATGTTTAAACTAACATATGTATATACTGTTTACAGTACTATTTTCTTACAAGGCACTCTTAAATTAACAATAAACTTGTTTTAAGAATTTCACTTTTAATTTGCCATGGGGTATTCTTTGGTTGTTCACTAAGTGGGTTTAAATTCAAAGATAATTGACCTTAAGGGAAGGTGTTAATTTATTTTCACAGAAGATTAATTCAACACGATCTATTTTGTAATGGATTTGTGGTGTGGGCTAGTCTGATTATTATTAATTTTTTCAATTTGTTATGTTCAAGCAAGGAAGGTACTGCTGCTGGTAATAAACAACTACATATGTGTGTTTACAGTTGGAAACTAAAGATGGCAAGCCTGTACTGGCTTGCTACATATGTTGCGCAAGGCTCAACAACTGCTATGAGTTGAGGAAGAGCTGTCTCCAGAGTGAGGAGCTGTTCACACAAATGCTGAGCAGTGATGAGGTTGGTTAAAGCTTCAAAAATTGCTTATTATTATTAAAAAAGTAGGTGATGTTTTCTACAGGGTTTGAATGACTTGATTACTATTTTATTGAAACTATTTTCAACACAACAAATCCTCCATTGGTTTGTTAAATATTTGTGGTCAATAAAAGCGTATTATTTTAAATAGGTGGTTAGTTTCAGTCATTGGGTTTCATAGAATAAATAAGTATTTGCTTAATGTTATATGGTGCTCATAACAAAAAAAATCTAACCAAGTTATCTCAAATAAAAATCTGTCTATAACCATAACTGGATCCAATACAATGTACAAACAATAGATGATTATTATCTGTATTATTGTTAGTTATAAGTATATGAAAAGTTGAAAACTGAACCTTTTGTGTTCCCTATTGCTTGAAACATGTGCTTAATTACAAAAGGAAATATTTACTGTAGGGCTCACCCTTGTGTAGGACAAACACAAAACAACATAAGCATAAACGCAACTACACCATCATAAAAATAATTTCACACAATACTTGTATTCGTCCTAAGTGGGAATCGAACCCACAACCTCCGGCTTCACAGTCATTTATCACATTTATCTTAACACTTAGAAATAATTATTTATTATTTCTTAATACTACTCAAGTCATTGACTGCACTCATGATATTTACATTATAGTGTCGAGTGATGTGGGTTGGTACAGAACGTTTGTATGTTAAGTTAGTTGGTCCATGGCTCCCTTACACCTTGCGCATTCACGTGTTATTGTTGACATCTTTGTTTCAATTAAGTAAACTCAAACCGTATTCTATAAATAGTATAGCGTGTTGTGTATGGACAATTATTCTGTATCACATTGTGTACATTGTGTGTCTTTTGTTTGTACTCCTTCTGTCTTATATATGGTATATCGTGTTGTGTACAGAACATATAATTAAGTAGTAGTAAGTGGATATTGACTTTTATTTATATTCACCCGTAAGTACACATACTGCTCCACGTTGCTATATTATATTATATTAAAAACCAGAATTTCCTGGAGACAATGAATTATAATTTTTTTGTTCCCATTCTGCATCATGGCAATCTGTTTTAAGAAAATAACTGACGATGGTAGAACCAGACTGATCTAAGTAACAATTTTGTCTTTTTGAGAAAACTAGGGAAACATGTTTGTACTTGTTGTGAAAAAACTAATGACTCATTGCTATTAAATATTTATTATAATCATGCCCAACATGTTGAATTGAAATTAGGACAATGTTTCCTAAGATATTTTTAATTAATAGTAACACAAATTAAAGTTTTACACAAACATTTTTGTAACTTAATTAAAATTTTGTAACTTAGAATGGGGAGACCTAGAGTCAGAAAGCCATTCATTTTACAGTGAGAGATTTACAGTTCTCAGGGTAAATAGTACTATTAGCACTTGGGTCACTGTGGTATAAAATAATTGTGTTTTTTTCGTGCCTTTATGACAAAAACGCTAATTTGAAAAAAGTATGGTTCTACCATCCTCAATTGCCTGCATGCTTTTGTCTAAAACATATTCCGAAATTAATTTTATTGAGCACAGTGAGCATTGCCAATTTTGCACAGAGACTTTCACTTCATCACATCACATGAACAGCCCTTACTAGTCCACTGCTGGACAAAGGCCTGTCCTTAGGAAGGGGGTTTTCACTTACTGTGGCAGAATCAGAATGTAAAGTATATATAATGAAAACCAGATGGTGCTTATATCGTGTGTAGGTGTCACCAAAAATTACCACCAAAAGTAATTCTAGCTTGTATGCAATGCAACTGCGAATACGATCTTAAATGCGCCAGGGTTACTAAAGAGTATTATACTAAAACTGACTCCAGAACACAAGAAAACATGGCAATGTCAAGCTTGCGTCTGTAAATAATCCACAGCCACAATACCTTTTTTTGTTGACGGGGTATAAAATCGGAGTATGTGGTGTTGTTTGTTGACAAGTCTCGTCCGATTTCATCGACCAGGACTTCACGGTCAGACGCCCACGCGGGGCAGTCTTCCAGCGTGTGCTGGGCGGTGTCCCAGTCGGCCGCGCAGTGCCGGCATTGTGCTGTCTCCTCGCGTCCAATCCGATTCAGGAGCCATGCCCAGTAAGCACCTGCGTCAGTCGGTAGGTGACGCGACCTCCCTCCCTACCTACCCAAGTTTCGAGGTTAGGCAAAACGGCACCGACAGCACGTTGGCGCGCATTCCGAGGTTGTTCCAGCCAGTGCCTGTCGGTGAGCGTTCCGCCGCATTTCGAGCTCGTCCTGGTCGTCCCCGTCCTCACCCCGGCGGAGTACGCGAGTCTGGTCGTAGACCCTCCAACTAGAATGCACCCTAAAACTAAAAATGAAGAAACACACACATCCATCGTTATGTTTCATACGGTGTTCCACAGGGCAGTGTCCTTGGGCAGCTTTTATTTATTATATTGTTGCGCCATAGGGTTAAATGGTTCGATTGTTCCAGAATTGTATGACATGTGGAGGACAGCGCCATCTAGTATCGAGTAAAGTAAGATTGTGATTAATAATTCTGATCCTTACAGCGCTAGATGGCGCGTGACTAATGCTGGAATATTCTTGTTTGTCTGGAACGGACTATCTAATACTAGGGATCTTTCTAGTAAATTTGATAGCACTATAAAATCGGATCGTGTTGGCTGTTCGACACAGTATCGTTTTACGACACAGCGAATTAACATCGAAGTGAATTTCTAGTGCGCCTAACGATTTGTCGTGTGATAAGTAATTTCTTGTTTGTTATAGTGAGTTAAGAAATGGAAAGTGTCTTAAGAAATGTATGTCACTAGTTGTTCTGTATTATCGTAGTCCGGCTTTAAGAGCCACCCTGTTACTTTTAGTTTTAATTTATGCTTGTTCAAGTCTAATATTTTAATTATTTTGTGCAGTTTTATATATATATACGTACTTAAAATATAGAATTGGTGACGTGCAAACGAGGTATGACTCGTATGTTTCACACTAGGTGGTATATATGTTACCAGGGACTACCTTTCTAGGGTATACCTGGTTCCCCGGCTATTAGTACCCGAGACGGCGTGCGGTTTTAGTCGGTTCGAGTCCGACATGCCACCGACAGGTGGTATCCGAGGGGATGGCCGCACGTAAAAAAAAAAAATAAAGGTGGTATATATATGTGCTTTTTTAGGGTTATTCGTAACTGAGCCGTTGTGTTTTCTCAGAGTCGACTGGAGCACAAAGAGCTGACGGACTGTCAGAATTTTACAGCAGGTATATAGTTGTTTTGTTGGGTATCTATACGGTCTTCTCATCATGACTTTTAGAACACCTCTCTGCCTTGCTCCACTTTGAGGAAGTTAGTCTTGTTTGCACCACCCTATGTCGTGATACAATATCCAAGTAATGATTGGCAGATCGCGAAGTATGTAAATTTATTTATTTATTTACACATCATGCACATTAGGTGCATTGGCGGACTTAATGCCTAAGGCATTCTCTACCAGTCAACCATTGGGTGATGCAGAGAAAACAGGCAGTAGAACATTTTAGTTACAGTATGTATACTTTGTACAAAATCATAAAATATATACACATATACAAATCTGTCATATACTACACCTGTACATATTAACATTACACATACGTACATACCTTATAATACATAAATACTGTATAAAAGGATATAAATACATACATACACACGCAAGTAGATACTGATAACAATTTTGTATTAAAATAAAAAGAAAAAGTATTGGAAGCCATCCTGATTTCGAGTGGAAGCGCATTCCAAAGAAGAACGGACTGAACGATAAAGGAAGAGCCAACAAACTCAGACGTGTTTTAAACCTTGCGGCCTCTCTGAGGGATTTGAAGACGTGGATGAGCCGCATGATTCTGTTTGTTGGGTGTCGATGTTCTTAGCCCATCTAGGACCATCGTCAATTTGCACACCCAAATACCTCACCGTATCTGTTTTAGTAAAACTGAGGAAGCATATTCATCAAATGCTAGAAAAAATTAATTTCGGCGTGCCACAGGGAAGTGTTTTTGGCCCGTTACTTTTTCTCTGTTACATAAACGATTTTCCTAACACTATGAATCAACGGTCTTTATTTGCCGATGATAGTACAGTCATTTTAAATCTCTAACAAATCTGGAAGAAGAAAAGGAACGAGATAAAAAACTGATTCTAAAATTGGAAGAAAAGGTTGAAACTCTTGAACGTAAAAATAAATCAACCAGCCTAGAAATACGTAACGTTCCCGCCGTGTTATCTGATAACAAAAAAATTGAGACTAAAGAAGAAATCGGAGGCATTATTAAATCATTGGCTAAAGCTGTAGAGGTTGAGCTACAAGACTCTGATATTAGAGATGTTTATAGAATAACCACTAATAAAGAAAACATAAAACCTATCATGGTTGAACTCAATAGCGTCTTGAAAAAGGAAAAGATATTGCAAGGAGTCAAAAATCTAAACAAGAAAAAGGCTAACGAAGATAAATTGAATACCGGCAATCTCAAACTTCTGGGGGCTCCTAGGCCCGTGTATGTGTCGGAGGCATTGACATTTAGAGCTCAGAAAATATATTATTTAGCCAGACAGTTCGCTCAAGACAACGGTTACTCTTATTGCTGGACTTCAAGAGGCTTGGTTTATTTACGTAAAGCTGAAGGAGAACCACCAGTTCGAATTGAAAAAGAATCTGATCTTAGCAAACTTGTGAAAAAGAAGTGACTATATAGTGTGAGAATTTACATTGTAATACTTAGATTTATTTTAATTTTTTGTTTAACCCTCTTGCTATGTACATTGCATTACATACATCATATGTCGCAATTGGCTAACTACACAACACACAAACTCTTAGTACCTGCACATACTCACAACGTACACACATCCAGTCATTGTTATCACGCACACAACACACAAACATTTAATATTATTTTACATATTACAGCAAGTTCTTGTTCAAAGCAACCACAGTACTACTGTAAAGGC